TATTCAACTCCTTCAACATGCAGTGTGACAGCTACTTCCTGTATTAAGTATTTACTTCAGAATTTATGGGGGGAAATAATTGCCAAGTGGACAAAAAATTTGTCAACACCAATCCTTTACCCCATTGGACAATGTGTAATGTAAATTTAAAAAAATGAAAACAGGACACATTTGGTCAAATAAAGACAGTAATTTGTGAACATACAGTTTGCAAAGACGGAATTGTTTCAGAGATGGACAGACATGGCCGTTTCACTTCATAAAAAGGAAGAAAGAAAAAAACAAATCTAAAAGGTTAATCATTTAAAAATGAAACGCACTCATCCAAAACCTGATTCAATACAAGGAGACATCCTCGGGTTTGGACTTCGACTTCAGACGGTCACTCACTTTCTCTCCGCGGTCCTAGAGCGGCTGGGGGGAAAACGAGGACCTGTCAGAAACAATAACTTGCACTACAATCCAATCCCCCATAGCCCTATAAATACAGTGGGGTCTGAAAGTATTGACTCCTTGATAAAGATGAGCAAAAATGACTGTGTAAAGACATTTACATTTGAGTCATTCAGCAGATGCTGTTCTCCAGAGCAACGTACAGTAGTGCGCATACTATAGTAGACCCAATTTAGTCGACTGGTCGATTGTTCAGTCAATAGACTGTTGGTCAACCAAGATTTCTGTAGTCGAGCAGTCACAAATAGATTTTTTGTTGCTACGTGCGTAATATCAAAGTTAACCGGCATATTGGTGTTGAGAACAATGCGGCAGAGGCAGCAGCGGAGTGAGAAGACGAGGAAACAGCCCTTGCCTTAATTGTCTAAGAAAATTGAGGAGAGAGAAGACACCAACTTAATTAGGTCCATAATCAATAGAGAGCTGCACCTTTACACAGCCCATCTGTAATTAGCCCAGCCAACTACCTCATCCCCATATTGTTATTTATTTTGCTAATTTGCACCCCAGTATCTCTATTTGCACATCATCTCTTGTACATCTATCATTCCAGTGCTAATACTAAATTGCAATAATTTCTCACTATGGACTATTTTTTGCCCCACCTCCATAACTTGCTACATTTGCACACACTGTATATATATTTTCTGTTGTATTTTTGACTGTTTTGTTTACCCCATATGTAACTGTGTTATTTTTTTAATCGCACTGCTTTGCTTTATCTTGGCCATGTCGCAGTGGAAATGAGAACTTGTTCTCAACTGGTTTACCTGGTTAAATAAAAAAATAATTTATGAGTACACCACAGTCACTGGTTTCATCAATAAGTGCATTGATGACGTCGTCCCCACAGTGACTGTACGTACATACCCCAACCAGAAGCCATGGATTACAGGCAACATCCGCACTGAGCTAAAGGGTAGAGCTGCTGCTTTCAAGGAGCGGGACTCTAACCCGGACACTTATAAGAAATTCCGCTATGCCCTACGACAAACCATCAAACAGGCAAAGCATCAATACAGGACTAAGATCGAATCGTACTACACCGGCGCCGATGCTCGTCGGATGTGGCAGGGCTTGCAAACTATTACAGACTACAAAGGGAAGCACAGCCGCGAGCTGCCCAGTGACACGAGCCTACCAGACTAGCTAAATAACTTGTATGCTCGCTTCGAGGCAAGTAACACCGAAACATGCATGAGAGCATCAGCTGTTCCAGATGACTGTGTGTTCACGCTCTCCGTAGCCGATGTGAGTAAGACATTTTAACAGGCCAACATTCACAAGGCCGCAGGCCAAGACGTGTACTCCGAGCCTGCGCTGACCAACTGGCAAATGTCTTCACTGACATGAAGTGCTTTGAACAGCTGGTCATGGCTCACAACACCATTATCCCAGAAACCCTAGACCCACTCCAATTTGCATACCGCCCCAACAGATCCACAGACGATGCAATCTCTATTGCGCTCCACACTGCCCTTTCCCACCTGGACAAAAGGAACATCTATGTGAAAATGCTATTCAATGACTACAGCTCAGCGTTCAACACCATAGTGCCCTCACCATAGTGCCCCCCCCCCCCCCCCCCCCTTTTACAATGCTGCTATTCTGTTTATTATCTATGCATAGTCACTTTAATAACTATCTACATGTACATTTTACCTCGACTAACCTGTGCCCCCACACATTGACTCTGTACCGGTACCCTCTGTATATAGCCTCGCTATTGTTATTTTTTCTGCTGCTCTTTAATTATTTGTTACTATACTGTGTTACCGGTTCGCGAGTGCCTTTGACGTTCTTCAGTCACTCAATGTAATTTTATTCTTATTAAATTTACACCGCATGACCATCAGGCTCCCTCGAGTCATTTGTGTCTTAATTATTTAATCAGACAGTGCGCTTAAAGCATCAGACAAGCTCAGTGCACATAGATTATTTTATTCAAACACATTGGGTGTCTTGGCTAAAATGTCCTGGTACTGTGTAAAGTTCATGATGCCATTGAATGGCCATCTCAGTCTCCGGACTTGAAAACCATTGAAAACCTGTAGTTTGAATTGTAGAGGGCAGTCCATAAGCGCAGACTAAGGTTGGAACACATTCCTCCCAATGTGTTCACCAACTCATAAAATATTTTTGAAAAAGGCTCAGTGGCGTGCGTTATACTCACTAGGTGAGGTATTGAAAGGTAATTAAAACAGGGGTGTCAATAGTTACCCATACCTTTTTTAAATACTTAAAATATATTTATGCGCAATTGTATTAATATAATTCACAAAATGTTTGCCGCATCCAGTATTTAAATTTATTTTATACATAAATTTTTGTGCATCTTCATCAAGGGTGTCAATAATTCTGAAATCCACTGTACTTGTCCATATAGGAAGACGCCTGTGGATACACAACGACAAGAAATTAACAACATGAACACACACTTACCTTCGGGACCTTGAGAAGGACCTTGAAGGTTTATGGTTCCGGTCTCTGGAGATAGACCTCTCTCTTCTTCGGTCTCGTGACAGAGACCTAGAGAAGAACAAGTCAATTAGAGTGTTTCCGATGTACTCACATGTATTTCAGACTAATCAGAAATATTACATTTGAACAACGGTCACTTAAAACTATACAGCACCAATTAGTATTAACAATGTCAGAACCATGTATAAATATTTTATAACAGGCGGCAGTGGGTTCTTTAGATCGGAAGGGACAAACATTTTTGTAGTATATGAAATGGTACTACGGTATTCTAAAATGTTGGTATCATAAGTATCATGATGTTTTGGTACCGTTACATAACCGGAATACTGCAAAATTACCAAAACTATTGCTGATGTTGAACCTGAACAAATCAAAATAAAATCTATATTAAGCCCCGTTCAGCAGGTATAGCCAGATGAGTAATGTTTATTCCAGTAAAACAATTCAACAGAGCAGAGATAACAAAAACCTAGCAAATTGCATAGGTTCTCACTCAACTAATAAAGCCTAATATCACGCAAGCCATTTTAGCATTTGAATGCTGAAGGTGCCGAGCAGATGTGCAAGATCAGGAACAGGCTGCCTAACTCGCATTGGTCAGCATGCAAAGCTGGGTACAGTGTGCAGTTTGACTAGGCTACTGATGTTGCCAGTGTTGTTCGGCATGCAAAATGAATTGTAGATCAATGACTGTAAACAGTTACATGAAGTTTGCCACTGAATGAGAGGACGCATCACAAAATATAAAAGGTATTTTCGGAAGGTAGAAAGAATGCAATATGAGCCGGCGATTCATAACGTTTGAATAGTTTGTCCGATGCATGCTACATTTTGATCGGTTTGTAGTCCACCGACCAATTAACTTGTATCTTAAACATTTTAATCAGGGACTGACGCGGATTGGTGAATCTTTACATCCCTACTAGTTAGATAGTTACCACATCACTGTTTAAGTTGTGGAGGCTGGGCAAAGAGGCATGCAATGGAGACTGTAGCAGAGGCATTTAGACTCACCTGCTGCGACTGCGGCTGAAGCTCCTCCTCCTTGGAGAGCTGGATGGAGAAGGAAAAACGGGTTTAATACAGGGTATTATTGCATCAATAAACACCTGTCAAATATGACATTCCTTATTCCTGAAGCAGCATCATTCCACAATACCACACACAGCCTTCCTCTTTCTGCAGACAGAACAGGGGATCCTCTGCACCCCTGCTAGAGGACAGAATGCCTGGACAACCAACTGAGTTCAAAATGAGATCTCTTATAAACTCAGGAGAACATGGAAGTTTAAATGAACACAAGCATATAAAGAAAGTGAGAATGAATTAGAAGATATAGAAGGAAATAATTACAAGTAGGCAGACTTATAAGCTACATACCTGTACTGTTTTGGGCACATTTGTTAAATCACTACCAATATTGGACCTCATAAAACATAATTCACAGTTCATGCTAACCAGGGCAGCGCCAAGACCCCACAACTTTTGAGTTTCAGGATAAAGGCTTTTTATTTGTAATCTATGAGAGGGAGATTCTAAATTATAATAATTGTACTCACAAGTTGATGTTTGAAACTAAATTTACACCACAATTTCTAAACTGCCAATTGCATATTGTCAAGCAGCTGTAAAACCAAACCTGTGGTAAGCAGGACACTACAAAAAGCAGGAGAAAAGCAACTTACTATTTTGGGGGGTTTGGACACAAGATAGAAATGACGCAAGGAAGCCAGACTGATGGCGAGGGAGGTAGAATTTGCAGAGAGGATTTGCCACATGTTGCAAATGTTGGAGTTATGGAGTTGGTTGGCTGGAGGGGGTACAGTAGTTGTAGATTTTCCCTGTCTGTGTGGTTAGCCGGGGCCTGCTGTGCTGCTTGTAGGTAGTTGTGTTGATAATTGGGGAAAGTAGTTAAATCGCTGATTGGTCGGAATTGTGGGGTGGGCTGCGACGCTGCCGATTGGGTTAAGGTTGGAGGAGGAGGAAGATGAGAGCTGCATGCTCAGGAACCAATAGGCTGGAGCGGAACATGACGACTGGCCATGCGTGGGTCATGTGACATGGCACCAGCGAAGCTGATTGGGTGGGGCACGGTGCTGGCGCTGGTCAGTGGTCACATGATGCTGTAAGAGGACTAGTTGACTGACTGTCTCAGGGGGTGGTGAGAAGAGGCATGGTGATGACTCTGCAACGGGGTTCATTTTTATTAATATAGATCGATGGCAAAAAACGAAACTGAGAAAAATGAAACAAAACTAACATCCAGATAGCAATCAAATGATCAAACATGTACCCCCTTTACCGAAATTTGATAGGTGATAAATGTTTATTATCTAAAAGAATTTCACTTAAAAAATGTGTTGCCTAGATCAACAAATTATGCCTGAATTAAACCTTTCAAAATCACCTAAATTGTGACCTGAAAAAAGCACCCAATCCCTCTGATGAGTAATTGATCCTTTCCCAGCTCGGATTGTGTCCACAGTAAAAACGTTATAATGTATCACTGTATTAACCAACCTACAGACAGTGCAGGAGTGTGTGTCTATTTGCCAAATCCAGCCATGTAAATTGAAATGATAGGATATATGGTACAGTTGGAAGTGATGGGAGGGTGTGGGGTTGACTGCTTATAAACACTTGTAGGACTACATGTTAAAGATGGGTGAGAACAAGTGTAGGTGAAAGGCGATGTATCATACCGGCGTCTGACAGGCGGGCTCCCACGGCGCCTGCTGCTGTAGTCATCACGTCCAGGGCGACGGCTCCAGGAGGGAGGAGGTCCACGGCTCCTTGAGCGTTTCTCGCCATTGGACAACTCAACTCTCACTCTGCAGCCAGACAGCGTCCTGTTCACAAAGTAATTGCAGAAGCATACTAGTTAGGCTGGAATATTATTTGGATGTTCATATGTCATGATATATGACTCTCTGTTTTGCTCAAGTGATCAACTGAATTTCCCCTTCTTATGGGGCAATAAAGTTGTAAGTAAGTAGTGGCCTACCGTCCATCCAATTCTCTCACAGCATCAGTTGCATCTCTGGGGTCCTCAAACTCGACAAAGGCAAAGCCTGGGGGGTTCCTCGCCACCCACACACTACGCAGAGGGCCATAGTACCCAAACGCCCTCTCCAACTCAGTCTTGTTTCCACTGTTGCCCAAGTTCCCAACATATACCTTACAATCCAGAGGACAATCTCTGAGATGAGCAGGTTCTAAGAGAGAGAGAGAGTGAAAGGAAAGAGGAAAATAACATACCACACGTACTACATCCAGTCATTTACAAATACATTCATTATTATACAATTCATATCACTCCTATCGACGTAATTTGTGACAACGCTGTATTAGGTGGCCAAACGCCCAAGGTAATCTTTTTTTTTACCAAATAAGTAGTGAGACCAGAAAAGACGCTGCATGCATAGCACGTTAGGTAATTACCTCCCATTTTGAAGGATCCTGGTTTCCTTTGAAGGGTTGACAAAAATATCAATCAATAACTGGAAGAAAAAAGGGAGACTTGATTAGTTAACTAAGCTACTGTGTTAGCTAGCTAACAAGTTACCGTGCTTAACTAGCTCCCAAAAACAATGCGATTGTTTAAATTGAGCTTAATACGATCGCTAGGTAGTTACATCTTTAAGTAACAAGTGCATGTTTAAATGCATTCATAAATTATAGACAACACAAAACATGTATTATATTAATCTAGAAATGCTGTTCATTATTAGCTTCCATTAGCTAGTATTAGCCGTGGAGGAGCATCGCGGTTAGCTTAGCGAGCTGCTGGCTTTTGTTGACGATTCAATCGAACTATTCGACTAAAGCAAAACAATGTTACAGTGCATGATGTTGTTAAACAGTAAACGCTTTTCATTCCCACATCCATTAATCAAAATTGTACCAGTTATATCTGCGTCAAAGTCTCCCAGCACGGCTCAGACGAATCGTAGCAGCAGTCCACAAGGTGTTCGAAAATGGCGTTGACCGGAAATAAATAATCTAGACAGCGCGGGGTCAGTAAAGTGCTTTACCCCTAACCTATCGCCGTCTACTGGAGTGGAGTATTATGACTAACTGACCAAGTATGTTTTTCTTTCAATAAAAAGCGCTGTGTAGAGACCAGATACCTGTATGTATTTATTTATACAATAGTTCTTCTTAGGCATACATTGCAGGGTACATAATATATAGTTTATCCAGCATGTTGTATAATTAAGCAATAAGGCCAGAGGGGGTGTGGTATATGGCCAATATACTGTACCACGGCTAAGGGCTGTTCTTATGTACCACGCAAGTAGAGTGCTTGGACACAGCCCTTAGCCGTGGTATATTGTCCATAAATCACAAACCACCGAGGTTCCATATTGCTATTATAAACTGAATACCAACGTAATTAGAGCAGTAAAAATAAATGTTTTGTCGTACCGCACGGCTGCCAGCCAATCAGCATTCAGGCCTCGAACCACCAAGTCTACAATTACGCAATAAGGCCTGAAGGGGTGTGGTAATATATAGATCGTCGCTAATCACCTCAGTGTCACCATTCTTTATTACAAAATGCATCGCTGACATTATCACAATGAAGGTTAGCTGCTTCCCCAATCAAAAGCCCTGGATTAAAACTGAGGTTGGCGTTTTTCCTATTTTGTTGCGTTACAACCTGTAATTTAAATGGATTTTTATTTGGATATCATGTCATGGACATACACAACATAGTCCAAATTGTTGATGTGAAATGAAAAAAATAACTTATTTCAAAAAATTCTAAAAAATAAATAACGGAAAAGTGGTGGGTGCATATGTATTCATCCCCTTTGCTATGAAGCCCCTAAATAAGATCTGGTGCAACCAATTACCTTCAGAAGTCACATAACAGTCACATTGGGCGGCAGGTAGCTTAGTGGGTAAGAGCGTTGTGCCAGTAACCGAAAGGTCGCTGGTTCTAATCCCCGAGCCGACTGGGTGAAAAATCTGTCGATGTGCCCTTAAGCAAGGCACTTAACCCTAATTGCTCCTGTAAGTCGCTCTGGATAAGAGCGTCTGCTAAATGACTAAAAAAAAAACAAAAAAAAAAAAACATAATTAGTTCAATAAAGTCCACCTGTGTGCAATCTAAGTGTCACATGATCTGTCACATGATCTCAGTATATATACACCTGTTCTGAAAGGCCCCAGAGTCTGCAACACCACTAAGCAAGGGGCACCACCAAGCAAGCGGCACCATGAAGACCAAGGAGCTCTCCAAACAGGTCAGGGACAAAGTTGTGGAGAAGTACAGATCAGGGTTGGGTTATAAAAAAATATCCTAAACCTTTAACGGACCACCATTAAATCCATTATTAAAAAATTGAAAGAATATGGCATCACAACAAACCTGCCAAGAGAGGGCCGCCCACCAAAACTCACGGACCAGGCAAGGAGGGCATTAATCAGAGAGCCAACAAAGAGACCAAAGATAACCCTGAAGGAGCTACAAAGCTCCACAGCGGAGATTGGAGTATATGTCCATAGGACCACTTTAAGCCGTGCACTCCACAGAGCTGGGCTTTACGGAAGAGTGGCCAGAAAAAAGCCATTGATTAAAGAAAAAAATAAGTAAACACGTTTGGTGTTCGCCAAAAGGTATGTGGGAGACTCCCCAAACATATGGAAGAAGGTACTCTGGTCAGATGAGACTAAAATTGAGCTTTTTGGCCATCAAGGAAAACGCTATGTCTGGCGTAAACCCAACTCCTCTCATCACCATGAGAACACCATCCCCACAGTGAAGCGTGATGGCAGCATCATGCTGTGGGGATGTTTTTCGTCGGCTGGGACTGGGAAATTGGTCAGAATTGAAGGAATGATGGATGGCGCTAAATACAGGGAAATTCTTGAGGGAAACCTGTTTCAGTCTTCCAGAGATTTGAGACTGGGACGGAGGTTCACCTTCCAGCAGGACAATGACCCTAAGCATACGGCTAAAGCAACACTAGAGTGGTTTGAGGGGAAACATGTAAATGTCTTGGAATGGCCTAGTCAAAGCCCAGACCTCAATCCAATTGAGAATCTTTTTTTTTATTTCACCTTTATTTAACCAGGTAAGTCAGTTGAGAAGTTCTCATTTACAACTGCGACCTGGCCAAGATAAAGCAAAGCAGTGCAATAAAAACAACAACACAGAGTTACATATGGGGTAAAACAAAACATAAAGTCAAAAATACAACAGAAAATATATATACAGTGTGTGCAAATGGCACAGTGGTCTAAGGCACTGCATCGCAGTGCTAGCTGTGCCACTAGAGATCCTGGTTCGAATCCAGGCTCTGTCGTAGCCGGCCGCGACCGGGAGACCCATGGGGCGGCGCATAATTGGCCCTGCGTCGTCAAGGGTAGGGGAGGGAATGGCCGGCAGCGATGTAGCTCAGTTGGTAGAGCATGGCGTTTGCAACGCCAGGGTTGTGGGTTCAATTCCCACGGGGGGCCAGTATGAAAAATTCAATAATGTATGCACTCACTAACTGTAAGTCGCTCTTGATAAGAGCGTCTGCTAAATGACTAAAATGTAATGCAAATGTAGCAAGTTATGGAGGTAAGGCAATAAATAGGCCAGAGTGCAAAATAATTACAATTAGTATTAACACTGGAATGATAGATGTGCAAGAGATGATGTGCAAATAGAGATACTGGGGTGCAAATGAGCAAAATAAATAACAATGTGGGGATGAGGTAGTTGGGTGGGCAAATTTCAGATGGGCTGTGTACAGGTGCAGTGATCGGTAAGGTGCTCTGACAACTGATGCTTAAAGTTAGTGAGGGAGATAAGTGTCTCCAGCTTCAGAGATTTTTGCAATTCGTTCCAGTCATTGGCAGCAGAGAACTGGAAGGAATGGCGGCCAAAGGAGGTGTTGGCTTTGGGGATGACCAGTGAGATATACCTGCTGGAGCACACACTACGGGTGGGTGTTGCTATGGTGACCAATGAGCTAAGATAAGGCGGGGATTTGCCTAGCAGTGATTTATAGATGGCCTGGAGCCAGAGGGTTTGGCGACGAATATGTAGTGAGGACCAGCCAACAAGAGCGTACAGGTCACAGTGGTGGGTAGTATATGGGGCTTTGGTGACAAAACGGATGGCACTGTGATAGACTACATCCAATTTGCTGAGTAGAGTGTTGAGGCTATTTTGTAAATGACATCGCCGAAGTCAAGGATCGGTAGGATAGTCAGTTTTACGAGGGCATGTTTGGCAGCATGAGTGAAGGAGGCTTTGTTGCGAAATAGGAAGCCGATTCTAGATTTAACTTTGGATTGGAGATGCTTCATGTGATTCTGGAAGGAGAGTTTACAGTCTAACCAGACACATAGGTATTTGTAGTTGTCCACATACTCTAGGTCAGACCCGTCGAGAGTAGTGATTCTAGTCGGGTGGGCGGGTGCCAGCAACGTTCGATTGAAGAGCATGCATTTAGTTTTACTAGTGTTTAAGAGCAGTTGGAGGCTACTGAAGGAGTGTTGTATGGCATTGAAGCTCGTTTGGAGGTTTGTTAACACAGTGTCCAATGAAGGGCCAGATGTATACAAAATGGTGTCGTGTGCATAGAGGTGGATCTGAGAGTCACCAGCAGCAAGAGCGTCATCATTGATATACACGGAGAAAAGAGTCGGCCCAAGAATTGAACCCTGTGGTACCCCCATAGAGACTGCCATAGGTCCAGACAACAGGCCCTCCGATTTGACACATTGAACTCTATCTGAGAAGTAGTTGGTGAACCAGGTGAGGCAGTCATTTGAGAAACCAAGGCTATTTAGTCTGCCAATAAGAATGCGGTGGTTGACAGAGTCGAAAGCCTTGGTCAGGAGGATGAAGACGGCTGCACAGTACTGTCTATTATCGATCGCGGTTATAATATCGCTTAGGACCTTGAGCGTGGCTGAGGTGCACCCATGACCAGCTCAGAAACCGGATTGCATAGCGGAGAAGGTACGTTGGGATTCGAAATGGTCGGTGATCTGTTTGTTAACTTGGCTTTCAAAAACTTTCGAAAGGCAGGGCAGGATGGATATATGTCTGTAACAGTTTGGATCTAGCTTGTCACCCCCTTTGAAGAGGGGGATGACCGCGGCAGCTTTTCAATCTCTGGGGATCTCAGACGTTACGAAAGAGAGGTTGAACAGGCTAGTAATAGAGGTTGCGACAATTTTGGCGTATAATTTGAGAAAGAAAGGTCCAGATTGTCTATCCCAGATGATTTGTAGGGGTCCAGATTTTGCAGCTCTTTCAGAACATCAGCTGTCTGAATTTGTGTGAAGGAGAAGCGGGGGGGGGCATGGGCAAGTTGCAGCGGAGGGTGCAGAGCTGGTGGCCGGGGTAGTGGTAGCCAGGTGGAAAGCATGGCCAGCCGTAGCAAAATGCTTGTTGAAATTCTCGATTATTGTAGATTTATCGGTGGTGATAGTGTTTCCTAGCCTCAGTGCAGTGGGCAGCTGGGAGGAGGTGCTCTTATTCTCCATGGTCTGTACAGTGTCCCAAAACTTTTTGGAGTTAGTGCTACAGGATGCAAATTTCTGTTTGAAAAAGCTAGCCTTTGCTTTCCTAACTGCTTGTGTATATTGGTTCCTAACTTCCCTGAAAAGTTGCATATCGCGGGGGCTATTCGATGCTAATGCAGTACGCCACAGGATGTTTTTGTGCTGGTCAAGGGCAGTCAAGGCTGAGGAGAACCAGGGGCTATATCTGTTCTTAGTTCTGTATTTTTTGAATGGGGCATGTTTATTTAAGATTGAGAGGAAATTACTTTTAAAGAACAACCAGGCATCCTCTACTGACGGAATGAGATCGATATCCATCCAGGATACCTGGGCCAGGTCAATTAGGAAGGCCTGCTCGCTAAAGTGTTTTAGGGAGTGTTTGACAGTGATGAGGGGTGGTCGTTTGACCGCGAATCTGTGGTAATACTTAAATATTGTTGTACACCAGCGGAACCCATCCAACTTGAAGG